GTTGATGTAGAAGAGACATGAAGAAGAGGGGACACATGTTGATGTAGAAGAGACATGAAGAAGAGGGGACACATGTTGATGAGAGAGACATAGAAGAGGGACACATGTGATGAGAAAGACTGAGAAGAGGGGACACATGTTGATGTAAGAAGAGACATGAAGAAGAGGGGACACATGTTGATGTAGAAGAGACATGAAGAAGAGGGGACACATGTTGATGTAGAAGAGACATGAAGAAGAGGGGACACATGTTGATGTAGAAGAGACGTGAAGAAGAGGGGACACATGTTGATGTAGAAGAGACGTGAAGAAGAGGGGACACATGTTGATGTAGAAGAGACATGAAGAAGAGGGGACACATGTTGATGTAGAAGATACATGAAGAAGAGGGGACACATGTTGATGTAGAAGAGACATGAAGAAGAGGAGACACATGTTGATGTAGAAGATACATGAAGAAGAGGGGACACATGTTGATGTAGAAGAGACATGAAGAAGAGGGGACACATGTTGATGTAGAAGAGACATGAAGAAGAGGGGACACATGTTGATGTAGAAGAGACATGGAGAAGAGGGGACACATGTTGATGTAGAAGATACATGAAGAAGAGGGGACACATGTTGATGTAGAAGAGACATGAAGAAGAGGGGACACATGTTGATGTAGAAGAGACATGGAGAAGAGGGGACACATGTTGATGTAGAAGATACATGAAGAAGAGGGGACACATGTTGATGTAGAAGATACATGAAGAAGAAGGGGACACATGTTGATGTAGAAGAGACATGGAGAAGAGGGGACACATGTTGATGTAGAAGAGACATGAAGAAGAGGGGACACATGTTGATGTAGAAGAGACATGAAGAAGAGGGGACACATGTTGATGTAGAAGAGACATGAAAGAGGGGGACACATGTTGATGTAGAAGAGACATGAAGAAGAGGGGGACACATGTTGATGTAGAAGAGACATGAAGAAGAGGGGACACATGTTGATGTAGAAGAGACATGAAGAAGAGGGGGACACATGTTGATGTAGAAGAGACATGAAGAAGAGGGGACACATGTTGATGTAGAAGAGACATGAAGAAGAGGGGACACATGTTGATGTAGAAGAGACATGAAGAAGAGGGGGACACATGTTGATGTAGAGAGACATGAAGAAGAGGGGACACATGTTGATGTAGAAGAGACATGAAGAAGAGGGGACACATGTTGATGTAAAGAGACATGAAGAAGAGGGGACACATGTTGATGTAGAAGAGACATGAAGAAGAGGGGGACACATGTTGATGTAGAAGAGACATGAAGAAGAGGGGACACATGTTGATGTAGAAGAGACATGAAGAAGAGGGGACACATGTTGATGTAGAACAGACATGAAGAAGAGGGGACACGTGTTGATGTAGAAGAGACATGAAGAAGAGGGGACACATGTTGATGTAGAAGAGACATGAGAAGAGGGGACACATGTTGATGTAGAAGAGACATGAAGAAGAGGGGACACATGTTGATGTAGAAGAGACATGAAGAAGAGGGGACACATGTTGATGTAGAAGAGACATGAAGAAGAGGGGACACATGTTGATGTAGAAGAGAAATGAAGAAGAGGGGACACATGTTGATGTAGAAGAGACATGGAGAAGAGGGGACACGTGTTGATGTAGAAGAGACATGAAGAAGAGGGGACACATGTTGAGAAGAGACATGAAGAAGAGGGGGACACATGTTGATGTAGAAGAGACATGAAGAAGAGGGGACACATGTTGATGTAGAAGAGAGCGAAGAAGAGGGGACACATGTTGATGTAGAAGAGACACGAAGAAGAGGGGACACATGTTGATGTAGAAGAGACACGAAGAAGAGGGGACACATGTTGATGTAGAAGAGACACGAAGAAGAGGGGACACATGTTGATGTAGAAGAGACATGAAGAAGAGGGGACACATGTTGATGTAGAAGAGACATGAAGAAGAGGGGACACATGTTGATGTAGAAGAGACATGAAGAAGAGGGGACACATGTTGATGTAGAAGAGACATGAAGAAGAGGGGACACATGTTGATGTAGAAGAAGACATGAAGAAGAGGGGGACCACATGTTGATGAAGAAGAGACATGGAGAAGAGGGGACACATGTTGATGTAGAAGAGACATGAAGAAGAGGGGACACATGTTGATGTAGAAGAGACATGAAGAAGAGGGGACACAATGTTGATGTAGAAGAGACATGAAGAAGAGGGGACACATGTTGATGTAGAAGAGACATGAAGAAGAGGGGACACATGTTGATGTAGAAGAGACATGGAGAAGAGGGGACACATGTTGATGTAGAAGAGACATGGAGAAGAGGGGACACATGTTGATGTAGAAGAGACATGAAGAAGAGGGGACACATGTTGATGTAGAAGAGACATGAAGAAGAGGGGACACATGTTGATGTAGAAGAGACATGAAGAAGAGGGGACACATGGTGATGTAGAAGAGACATGAAGAAGAGGGGACACATGTTGATGTAGAAGAGACATGAAGAAGAGGGGACACATGTTGATGTAGAAGAGACATGAAGAAGAGGGGACACTTGTTGATGTAGAAGAGACATGAAGAAGAGGGGACACATGTTGATGTAGAAGAGACATGAAGAAGAGGGGACACATGTTTGATGTAGAAGAGACATGAAGAAGAGGGGACACATGTTGATGTAGAAGAGACATGAAGAAGAGGGGACACATGTTGATGTAGAAGAGACATGAAGAAGAGGGGACACATGTTAATGTAGAAGAGACATGAAGAAGAGGGGACACATGTTGATGTAGAAGAGACATGAAGAAGAGGGGACACATGTTGAGGTAGAAGAGACATGAGGAAGAGGGGACACATGTTGATGTAGAAGAGACATGAAGAAGAGGGGACACATGTTGATGTAGAAGAGACATGAAGAAGAGGGGACACATGTTGATGAGAAGAGACATGAAGAAGAGGGGACACATGTTGATGTAGAAGAGACATGAAGAAGAGGGGACACATGTTGATGTAGAAGAGACATGGAGAAGAGGGGACACATGTTGATGTAGAAGAGACATGGAGAAGAGGGGACACATGTTGATGTAGAAGAGACATGAAGAAGAGGGGACACATGTTGATGTAGAAGAGACATGAAGAAGAGGGGACACATGTTGATGTAGAAGAGACATGAGGAAGAGGGGACACATGTTGATGTAGAAGAGACATGAAGAAGAGGGGACACATGTTGATGTAGAAGAGACATGAAGAAGAGGGGACACATGTTGATGTGGAAGAGACATGAAGAAGAGGGGACACATGTTGATGTAGAAGAGACATGAAGAAGAGGGAACACATGTTGATGTAGAAGAGACATTAAGAAGAGGGGACACATGTTGATGTAGAAGAGAAATGAAGAAGAGGGGACACATGTTGATGTAGAAGAGACATTAAGAAGAGGGGACACATGTTGATGTAGAAGAGACATGAAGAAGAGGGGACACATGTTGATGTAGAAGAGACATGAAGAAGAGGGGACACATGTTGATGTAGAAGAGACATGGAGAAGAGGGGACACATGTTTGATGTAGAAAGAGACATGAAGAAGAGGGGACACATGTTGATGTAGAAGAGACATGAAGAAGAGGGGACACATGTTGATGTAGAAGAGACATGAAGAAGAGGGGACACATGTTGATGTAGAAGAGACATGAAGAAGAGGGGACACATGTTGATGTAGAAGACACATGAAGAAGAGGGGACACATGTTGATGTAGAAGAGACATGAAGAAGAGGGGACACATGTTGATGAAGAAGAGACATGAAGAAGAGGGGACACATGTTGATGTAGAAGAGACATGAAGAAGAGGGGACACATGTTGATGTAGAAGAGACATGAAGAAGAGGGGACACATGTTGATGTGGAAGAGACATGAAGAAGAGGGGACACATGTTGATGTAGAAGAGACGTGAGGAAGAGGGGACACATGTTGATGTAGAAGAGACATGAAGAAGAGGGGACACATGTTGATGTAGAAGAGACATGAAGAAGAGGGGACACATGTTGATGTAGAAGAGACATGAAGAAGAGGGGACACATGTTGATGTGGAAGAGACATGAAGAAGAGGGGACACATGTTGATGTAGAAGAGACGTGAGGAAGAGGGGACACATGTTGATGTAGAAGAGACATGGAGAAGAGGGGACACATGTTGATGTAGAAGAGACATGAAGAAGAGGGGACACATGTTGATGTAGAAGAGACATGAAGAAGAGGGGACACATGTTGATGTAGAAGAGACATGAAGAAGAGGGGACACATGTTGATGTAGAAGAGACATGGAGAAGAGGGGACACATGTTGATGTAGAAGAGACATGGAGAAGAGGGGACACATGTTGATGAAGAAGAGACATGAAGAAGAGGGGAACACATGTTGATGTAGAAGAGACATGAAGAAGAGGGGACACATGTTGATGTAGAAGAGACATGAAGAAGAGGGGACACATGTTGATGTGGAAGAGACATGAAGAAGAGGGGACACATGTTGATGTGGAAGAGACATGAAGAAGAGGGGACACATGTTGATGTAGAAGAGACATGAAGAAGAGGGGACACATGTTGATGTAGAAGAGACATGAAGAAGAGGGGACACATGTTGATGTAGAAGAGACGTGAGGAAGAGGGGACACATGTTGATGTAGAAGAGACATGAAGAAGAGGGGACACATGTTGATGTGGAAGAGACATGAAGAAGAGGGGACACATGTTGATGTAGAAGAGACGTGAGGAAGAGGGGACACATGTTGATGTAGAAGAGACATGAAGAAGAGGGGACACATGTTGATGTAGAAGAGACATGAAGAAGAGGGGACACATGTTGATGTAGAAGAGACATGAAGAAGAGGGGACACATGTTGATGTAGAAGAGACATGAAGAAGAGGGGACACATGTTGATGTAGAAGAGACATGAAGAAGAGGGGACACATGTTGATGTAGAAGAGACATGAAGAAGAGGGGACACATGTTGATGTAGAAGAGACATGAAGAAGAGGGGACACATGTTGATGTAGAAGAGACATGAAGAAGAGGGGACACATGTTGATGTAGAAGAGACATGAAGAAGAGGGGACACATGTTGATGTAGAAGAGACATGAAGAAGAGGGGACACATGTTGATGAAGAAGAGACATGAAGAAGAGGGGACACATGTTGATGTAGAAGAGACATGAAGAAGAGGGGACACATGTTGATGTAGAGACATGAAGAAGAGGGGACACATGTTGATGTAGAAGAGACATGAAGAAGAGGGGACACATGTTGATGTGGAAGAGACATGAAGAAGAGGGGACACATGTTGATGTAGAGACATGAAGAAGAGGGGACACATGTTGATGTAGAAGAGACATGAAGAAGAGGGGACACATGTTGATGTAGAGACATGAAGAAGAGGGGACACATGTTGATGTAGAAGAGACATGAAGAAGAGGGGACACATGTTGATGTAGAAGAGACATGAAGAAGAGGGGACACATGTTGATGTAGAAGAGACATGGAGAAGAGGGGACACATGTTGATGTAGAAGAGACATGAAGAAGAGGATGTTGCAGAATGGGTGACCTTCAAAGTAATGTAATCATTATCTTTCATTGCTGTGTGTTCTGGGTGAGTGTTGGTGGCTAGAGTTGCTCACCTGACTGCGGGCGGGACAGCGGCGGCTCCACAGGTTTGGGATGCATTAAGATGAACGGCAGCTCCACTGAAACGTCTCTGAAAAACATCACCAGGAATATTCAGTTATAAAGAAAATCTGACGTTTTATTGTGAAAACCAGAAGGAAGTTAACCAATCAGAGGGCTACATGGAGGGTTAGAGGATCATGTGACTGCCTCTGAATTTTCCTTCTCTTCATTAATTTATAATTATTGTTTTTTTAATGAATAAACTAGTCAGTGAAACTCATCTCTCCAAATGTTTCACAATAAAAGCCTAAACTTTACCTTATTTGTGGTTTGAATCAGTTTATCGTTTTGAATGTCCTTAAAACTTTGAGCCAACCTTAATCCAGTTTATGGATAAATGCTATTATATTTGACATTAAATTGGCCAAAACAAAATGCTACTGACACAGCTTTATTTTCTCCATGCTTTTAGACATTTTCAAGACATTTAAAAGCTCTGCTGACAGTGTTTTATTTTGAAAATTCAAGGATAGTGTTTTAGTCTGGAAGGACAGAAAGCTGGCACCGCTTTATTTGGAAAATTCCAGGACTATGTGTTATTCTGCATAGGCGGAAAAGGAGATGTGTAAAAAGGCTGCTTGGTATCTTATTTTGAAAAAACAATATTGCTTTTTAATCTGGACAGCTAGAGACAATTTTCAAAATACTGCGGTTTTATTTTGAAACTTTTTGGACTATAGGCGCTTTCACACCGGAGTACTTTTCCCAGGAATAGTTCCGATAGTTCCTGGGATTTTGCGTTCACACCAAAAATATCTGGAAATAGAACTTAGGTCGCATTCACACCTAATAGTCTGCTTCTCAGCTGCGCACCAGACCACAGTTTGTTACATGGTTTCATTTCTCAGAAGGTTTGGTTTGCGTTCACACGGCAAAACTCAAACAGACTATAAACTTTAAACACAAGTCATGTGCACGGAAATGCTGTTCAACCATTGGTCAGACATTAAGGGGGTAAAAACTAAAATCCCGGCAATTTCTACCGGAGCCTCCGCCATGGAGCATCGGCACTTTCAGCTAGGGATGCTCCGATCACCAATTTCGGGGCCGATCGCCGGAATCAGTATCGGCCGATACCGATCGCCGATCCGATCGAGTGGGCGGGGCCTAAATGGAAGATTTAAACATCACTTTAAATCTTCCATTTAAAGTGATGTTTAAAACTCAGTTAATGGGGCTCATTCACTGGAGCTTCCACAAACAACAACCAACTTAATTATTACATTCAAATGATGTACATTATTTAAGTTTACATTCACTTTGGATAAGAACGGGAGAAATTAGCAGAAGCGCTCTCTTTTCCTCTCTCCCTCTCCTGACAGCCTGTCAGTATCTCATGCAGCTCACTGATCCAGTAATGAGTGACCTGACAATGAAGAATAAATATATTTATAATAACTAGTTTAGCTTGTTCCAGAGGTAGATAAAATAGCTAAGTGTGTTAGGTCTAACTCTTACGGTACGTCCACACAGCAGCTTTTCAAAAATCTTGAAAATCTTGGAGCTGGGCGTGTCTGAAAGCTTGGGGATTTTTTGCGACCAACAAGCAATCACATGAATCTCCCGCCCCCGACATACAAAGCAAAAAACCCCGGGGATTTTATGCGAGTAATATATATATATATTAGGGCCGGGACTTTAACGCGTTAATTAAGATGAATTAATTACACAAAAATTAACGCATTTTAATCGCACTTATTTTTGCACCGCGGAACGTTTCTCACTGGATGAGTTTCAGGCGTACCGATTATACTGGAGCACCAACTAACGTTCATGACTTCAGACAACAACAAACCACAGTGAACAACAGTGGGAAATGTTGTTTTAAAAAACGGACGGATGGAAGCGTTGATAAGAGCACGGTTGTGTGCAAATTATGCAAAAAGGAATTCGCATATCACCGCAGCACATCAAGCCTCAAGTATCACCTCAATGCAAAACATATAGCAGCTAGCGTGGAAGCTAGCGTGGACGTTAGCCTCTTTTATCGCATTCACACCAAAAAGAGCCGGTACTAAAATTAGTTCATGAGAACCTTTTTACCCCCACGAAAGTCCCTGCTAGAGAGCAGAGAGCTGCTAGAGAGCAGGGACTTTCGTACGGCTCTCTTGTGAGAAAAGAGCTATATTCTGATTGGCTGGGCGGATTGCAAACCACGCCCCGTAAAACTCCCAAAAAGTTTTGTGAATTTTATTATCCTCGCATTAGCATTATTAGCATTAGCCCAGCGAAGAAACGCAGAGAGACTAATTTATGGCAACACAAAATAAAACATGGGAGCGGTGGAGATGAGGAGGTGTCGGCGTTCTGGCGATTTACTCGGAAGGCTTCAGTAGAAGCTGCTGGGACTCCCAGCAGCTTCTACTGAAGCCACCAACTCAGGGGACTTTGGGCGGCAGTATACGCCGTGAAGTGGTTTGCGGCCTGCCAGTAAACCCAAAGCAGAAGAAGAAGAAGTGACGTCAGCGGCTTCATTTGCCTAATCCACCCCCAAATTCAAAGAGTTCTCATGAACTAAGTTCTCATGAACCTTTGTGGGAAAAGTACTGCGGTGTGAATGCGCCTAATGGTATACTAAAATCCATGTGAAAAAAATTGCTTCTCACTGTTCTCAGGTCAAATATTTATATGTGATTAAAAATGCGATTAATTTCGATTAATTAATTACAAAGCCTCTAATTAATTAGATTAATTTTTTTAATCGAGTCCCGGCCCTAATATATATATAAACTCCCCAAACAGGCGAAAACCTACCAGTTTCACCCACTGTCTCTGCCACCTCCCTCCATGCCTGGTTCCTCCGGGTTGTATCCCGTTAATAGTTCTGGTCGTAAAGAACCGGGTGATTTGCTACCGTAATTTCTCGTTTGGAATATGAGGAAATGAACTGCGGTCTGGTTCTCCCTGTGTGTGTGTTTCGCTGCGCTTACCTGTCCGGCGGGCGGAGCTGCAGGATTTCTGCTTCACACACGTTGCATTCCGCTATTTTACTGTCTTTTTCGGACACCTTCAAATAATGCCAGACCGGTGAAGCCATTTTAGCGAGCTTGTTTTGCCGCGCACAGAGAAAAGTGTCATGTATTTTACGTCTCGCGATCGGCATGTTTAGAGAGCACCGATCGATCGGTAGAGAGTGAGTATCGGCCGATATCGATCGGTCACCGATCGATCGATCGGTGACCGATCGATCGGAGCATCCCTACTTTCAGCAGGTTATTCTCATGCTGCTGTTAATCTGGAGATCAACAGACACTAGCGGCCCGCGCATATGATTATATAATCAGACAACGTCCGTTAAAAAACATTATAACATAATGAGAGACGTTCTGCAGTCAGGAGGGCGTTTCACCGACGACAGGTGGCTCTGACTTTTATGTAGCTGACGGATAATTCTTACTTTACACGACACTGTTCAACTCTTCATTCTGCTTCACTCTTTAACTAAACAACCGGATGTCTTGAAAAACTCTTTCGCTAAAGAAATGAAGATGTCCGCGTTCTTGTGACTCGTAAATACTACGCTTCCTATGTTTTGGTGCTGACTGCGTTCACACCAGCAATGAACCGCTCCAGAGTTCGCAAGCAAGCGGTCCGAGACCTCCTATTTTAGCGGACCAGAGTCCGGTTGTTTAGTTCACTTCAGAGGATTGTGTTCACACCGACCCAAATGAACCACACCAAGCGGCTAAACGCACCAGGGTTAGATTCAACCGGACTATACAAGGCAGGTGTGAACGCACCCTTAGTTCATGCAAACCTTTTAACCCCTCTTCAGTGCCTGCTAGAGAGGTGGGACTTTCATGGGGAGAAAAAGGTTCCATTTTCTGATTGGCTGGGCGGATTGCAAACCACGGCCCGTAAAACTCCGAAATGTTTTGTGAAGCCGCCATTTTATTTGCTCGCATTAGCATTATTAGCATTAGCCCAGCGCACCAACGGAGAGAGACTAACGTATGGCAACACAAAAGAAAACATGGGAGCGGTGGAGATGAGGAGGTGTTGGCAGAAGACTCCCAGTAGCTTCTACTGAAGCCAGTCCGCAACTCCGGGGACTTCCGGCCAGGGGCTTCGGGTGGCTGTACACGCCGTGAAGTGGTTTGCGGCCTACCAGTAAACCCAAAGGAGAAGAAGAAGTGACGTCAGCGGCTTCATTTGCCTAATCCTCCCCTAGGGACTTCTTCCGGTGAGAACGCGATCTACTAGGGCAGTTCCAGGACTAAAGAGTTCGGGGAACTATTCCTGGGAAAAGTACTTCGTGTGAAAGCGCCTAATAGCCGCTTTCACCCACCGCTCCCATGTTTTATTTTGTGTTGCCATAAGTTATTCTATCTCCGTTGGTGCGCTGGGCTAATGCTAATAATGCTAATGCGAGCAAATAAAATGGCGGCTTTACAACATTTTTCAGAGTTTTACGGGGCGTGGTTTGCAATTCGCCCAGCCAATCAGACATTGGAACCTTTTCCTCCCCAGGAAAGTACCACCTCTCTAGCAGGGACTGAAAGGGGGGGAAAAGGTTCCCGAGAACTAGGTTCTAGTTCCAGATCTTTTTGGTGTGAACGCAAAATCCCAAGAACTATCGGAACGATTCCTGGGAAAAGTACTCCGGTGTGAAAACGCCTTTTGTTTTCATCTCAATAGGCAGGAACTGAGATGTTTGAATAGGGTAAAGACATGGTTTTATTTTGAAATTCTAGGATTGCATTTTAGTCTGGACGACTTAAAACGTCAACATTTAGAAATGTAGAACCGGAGGCATTTGAAAACGCTACAGACAAAGTTTTATTTGGAAAATTCCAGGAATATGTTTAAATCTAGATAGGCGAAAACTGAGATGTTTAAAAAGGTTGCGGACATGGTTTTATTTTGAAAATCCAGGATATTGTTTAAAGTGTAGGAGGCTAGAAATTGAACATTTAGAAAAACGCTTCAGATGGTTTTTATTTTAGACTCGATGGGCATAATCGGAGACGTTTGAAAGCACTGCAGTCGCCGCTTCATTTGAAAAGGTGTCGTCACATTTACCTGTCCAACATGCCTCTCAGCAGCCTGCAGGGGGACACAGAGGGGGGAGGAGGATGGAGGAGGAGGAGGGGAGCCAAACACACATCCAAAAAACACAGAGGGGAGATGAAATGAAAAGCAGGAGGCGACATGTTCACAACAAGTTCACAATCTAAGCAAGCAAAGTGAGGAGCGACTACAGCGAGAAGCAGGTTTCCAAGGTAACTGACAACAGGAAGTGAGAGGGCGGAGCCAAGCTGCACAGACAGGAAGTCCTTCATCAGGATCTTAATTAAACACTCATTTATTAAAGTTGTGTTGTGTGTAGTTTCTTTATAGCCCAACATTAGCCGCCTTTAGCTTAGCGGTGGTGACGTGAAGTCATGTGACCGTGCTGTAGTTCCTTTATAGCGCAACATTAGCCACCTTTAGCTTAGCGGTGGTGACGTGAAGTCATGTGACCACCGCATTAAATTAATGTGGGTGCAGCTCGGCTAATGTCTTAAAATCAACTGGAGTCTCAAAACTCCACTGATGACATTAACAGGAAACAGTGAGAGGACAGGAAGTGATGTCAGCAGAGTGGGAGGGGACTATGTGTGTGTGTGTTTGTCTTACCCTCCACGTGAGATCACCAGCTTCACTTTGACTCTGTAGGAAACCAGGATCCCCAAAACCTCCTTGTTGGTGATGTCTTTCACACTGAAACACAAACAGGAAGCAATGGTCACATGACCAACAACACACCTGTACCTGGACTCTATAGTCTGTACTTCCTTTAGACTCTCTTGATCCCAATTTGGTAAATTCTCTCGTCACAGAAGCAGAGGTTTGTTCAGACTTTAGAATACAATACTTTAAATACTTTAAAAAGTGGAATAGATAGTTATTATTTACAATTGTATTTGTCGTAAGTCTTTCTTCTTTGATGTTTTGTCTGTGTGTTTACATGGTGTGTGAAACGCACATGTGTGTGTGTTTACATGGTAGAGGAGGTGTGTGTGTATATGTGTGTTTACATGGTGTAGGAGGTTTGTCTCTGTGTGTGTCTTTCTGTCTGTCTGTCTTTACATGGTGGAGGTGTGTGTGTGTGTTTACATGGTAGATGAGGTGTGTCTCTGTGTGTGTGTGTGTGTGTGTGTGTGTGTGTGTGTTTACATGGTAGAGGAGGTGTGTCTCCGTGTGTGTGTGTGTGTGTGTGTTTACATGGTAGAGGAGGTGTGTCTCTGTGTGTGTGTGTGTGTGTGTGTGTGTGTGTCTCTGTGTGTGTGTGTGTGTGTGTGTGTGTTTACATGGTAGAGGAGGTGTGTCTCTGTGTGTGTGTGTGTGTGTGTGTGTGTGTGTGTGTGTTTACATGGTAGAGGAGGTGTGTCTCCGTGTGTGTGTGTGTGTGTGTGTGTGTGTGTGTGTGTGTGTGTTTACATGGTGGAGGAGGTGTGTCTCGTGTGTGTGTGTGTGTGTGTGTGTGTGTGTATGTGTGTGTGTGTGTCTGTCTTTACATGGTGGAAGTGTGTGTGTGTGTGTGTTTACATGGTAGAGGAGGTGTGTCTCCGTGTGTGTGTGTGTGTGTGTGTGTGTGTGTGTGTTTACATGGTGGAGGAGGTGTGTCTCCGTGTCTCCGTGTGTGTGTGTGTGTGTGTGTTTACATGGTAGAGGAGGTGTGTCTCCGTGTGTGTGTGTGTGTGTGTGTGTGTGTGTGTGTGTGTGTGTGTGTTTACATGGTAGAGGAGGTGTATCTCTCTGTGTGTGTGTATCTTTCTGTCTGTCTTTACATGGTGGAGGTGTGTGTGTTTACATGGTAGAGGAGGTGTGTCTCCGTGTGTATGTGTGTTTACATGGTAGAGGAGGTGTGTCTCTGTGTGTGTGTGTGTGTGTGTATGTGTGTGTGTGTGGTGTGTGTGTGTGTGTGTGTGTGTGTGTGTGTATGTGTGTGTGTCTGTCTTTACATGGGGGAAGTGTGTGTGTGTGTGTGTGTGTGTGTGTGTGTGTGTGTGTGTGTGTGTGTTTACATGGTGGAGGAGGCCAGGTTGGTGTCTTCGTGTTTGAGTTTCCCGTCCAGAGCGAGTCCTCTCTTCTCTCGGTTCTTGTCGAGCGTTGGGGTCAGAGTGTAGACCTTACAGAAGGTGGAGCTGGACGACACCTGGTCACTATGGAGACACTGCTGTCAATCAAAACTGCTCCACTAAGCCCCGCCCACTCCACAGACCAACCTCAGATTAGACATTATAGAGCTGGGTGTTTTTTGAAGATTACTTAAAGGTCTCCTATCATGCAGAATGCACTTTCTGATGTCTTCTCTACATCACCATGTGTCCCCATGTGTCCCCGGTGTGTCCCCGGTGTGTCCCGGTGTGTCCCCGGTGTGTCCCCGGTGTGTCAGGAGACTCTCAAAGTGTCAGGAAATAACCCCTCTCTCTTTTCCTCCGTACCCACATCTCTAAAAACGGAGCGGATCCAGATTTGCTGCGTCATGACGACATTACTAAAATGTGGGCGGGCTTTACCCCCACGGGCCAATCAGAAACGTTGCTGTCAGAAACAATGAGACGTGTTCTGGAAGTAATATGGTCTGTGTTTACATTAGCATGCTAACACTCAGAGCTAACCTGTACTGGAGAGAGTGTGTGTGAAGAAGCAGGAAATCAAAAGGTACTGTCCTTGAGAACTATAATATATGCCTAAAAATAGTATAGTAGGAGACCTTTAAAGAACACTGGCTAACAGTAGGATTTGGGATGGTAATATATCATCATGTTGTTTATCTCTGGGTTAACTGGCTTTATGTTTATCAATGCTTTAAACCAGTATTGAAATGGGACTTACTCTGCCTCCAGCTGGGCCACTGGACATTTATACTGAGCAGTACTGAACAGACAGATATCTGCGTACTGACGCACTGCAGAGACAACGAGAGAAAGAGAGTTTTAAACACAACCAATCCGGGTTTTTTTATATTCAAATTAAACACACACATTGTACAGAATTTTAGAAGAAGACGTACCTGATATTTTGACTCTCTTCACGGTCTTGGTGGAGTTGTTGGTGACGTGGACGTTGACGCTGATTGGCTCTCCGTGGTAGTAAAGCTGCACAATGCATCATGGGAAACAAGGACTTTGATAAGTCTCTTTAAACGTAACTAAAGCTGTCAGCTAAACGTTGTGTGGTAGATTAAGTAAAACGTGGCAGAAATGGGTACATTTAAACTCTGGTGTGTGTGTGTGTGTGTGTGTGTGTGTGTGTGTGTGTGTGTGTGTGTGTGTGTGTACCTCCTTGTCCAGAGAGGCCTCCAGGTGCAGGGATCTGTCCGACATCAGGAAGCTGCGGGTCGTCTCCACCATCGGCTGAGGGCCAGGCTTCTCTGGAGCGTACTGAACCTTCCTGATCACCAGACGCACCGAGTTCCTGAACCAAGTACAAAAGAGAGGGGTAAGAATGACCTCTGAACCCCTGACAGGACTCTGCATTTTAACGTTTTGTTCTATGACACAAGACATGTCAGTAAATACCCCACTGTTGAGTTTAAAAACGGCGGTTGCTAACAAGTGCCTAAATGAGACGAAACGTCATCACGCTCAACATTAGCCACCTTTAGCTTAGCGGTGGTGACGTGAAGTCATGTAACCGTGCTGTAGTTCCTTTATAGCCCAACATTAGCCACCTTTAGCTTAGCGGTGGTGACGTGAAGTCATGTGACCGTGATGTAGTTCCTTTATAGCCCAACATTAGCCTCCTTTAGCTTAGCGGTGGTGACGTGAAGTCATGTGACCGTGCTGTAGTTCCTATATAGCCCAACATTAGCCACCTTTAGCTTAGCGGTGGTGACGTGAAGTCATGTGACCGTGCTGTAGTTCCTTTATAGCCCAACATTAGCCACCTTTAGCTTAGCGGTGGTGACGTGAAGTCATGTGACCGTGCTGTAGTTCCTTTATAGCCCAACGTTAGCCACCTTTAGCTTAGCGGTGGTGACGTGAAGTCAAGTGACCGTGCTGTAGTTCCTTTATAGCCCAACATTAGCCGCCTTTAGCTTAGCGGTGGTGACGTGAAGTCATGTGACCGTGCTGTAGTTCCTTTATAGCCCAAAGTTAGCCACCTTTAGCTTAGCGGTGGTGACGTGAAGTCATGTGACCGTGCTGTAGTTCCTTTATAGCCCAACGTTAGCCACCTTTACCTTAGCGGTGGTGACGTGAAGTCATGTGACTGTGCTGTAGTTCCTCTATAGCCCAACATTAGCCTCCTTTAGCTTAGCGGTGGTGACGTGAAGTCATGTGACCGTGCTGTAGTTCCTTTATAGCCCAACGTTAGCCACCTTTAGCTTAGCGGTGGTGACGTGAAGTCATGTGACCGTGCTGTAGTTCCTTTATAGCCCAACGTTAGCCACCTTTAGCTTAGCGGTGGTGACGTGAAGTCAAGTGACCGTGCTGTAGTTCCTTTATAGCCCAACGTTAGCCACCTTTAGCTTAGTGGTAGTGTCGTAAAGTCTTGTGACCGTGATCGTTAAATGTTAATGATTATTTATTTAACCTTAAATGGTCAGATTTGAAAACCTCCTGGATTCAGAGCTGTTCTTTACACTGAGATTTGGACGTTATAAATCAGGTGTCCCCTCACCTCTTGTGGATCTTTTCTTCTATTGACTTGGCGCAGAAAGCTCTGATCTCAAAGTCGACGCCGCAGGCCTGAAAGAGAAATAAACAAGCTGCTTTTATTCTGAAAATACCTGCTGATGTTCCTCTCATTCTGCTCAAACACTATCAACACATTCCTGGATATTTAACACCAGATCTGAAATTAAGAAGCAGTTAACAGTGTTTTCAATTCACTAACACAAAATAATGAATTTTCTTTTGGGACCCAAAATAGTTTGGAGTATTGTAGTTGTATTCAGTTGACCTACTATTTGTTATTACATGTATTTCACTTCTCACCAACACTGACACAACAATAACTTTTTAGCTGTGTGTGTGTGTGTTTGTTTTGCTGTGCTTGTGAGGACCAAGTGCAAGGACCTTTTTAGGTAATGTCCTCACAACATGCTATTGGGTCATAGACCTCAAGAATATAGTCGTGTGTGTGTGTGTGTGTGTGTGTGTGTGTGTGTGTGTGTGTGTGTGTGTGTGTTACCTTGCCAGTGTCCTCTGGGCCGGGCTGTAAAGTGACTGAACATGGGAGGTTCTGAGGGATCTAAATCAGCAGAAAAACACAACAAACAACATTATAAAATACATGAACATACATTGAAGATGCAGTCTGTAAATCTAACTTTCTTCTCTTCGTCTCACACACTGAACACCACAGGACATTATTCTCAGAGCTGCATATCGACAAGGACTACTAATTAATGGATTATAAATACATGTAAATGTGTTTAGCTTTGTCACAATATACGAAATCTTAAGGTATTTCTTAACTGTGTGATTGTAACCATTGATATGTATGAACAGTGTGTCTTAAGACTAGTTATTCACACAATATAAATGTCCTCTGAAAGCCAGTTGGAAGGCAGTATTTGTTTTTGTATCTCCCCCACAGCTGGTTGTATAAATGCACATGTGTTTTACTGCAGTTCAAAGGCTTTATCATCAAATGCACAGATGCTACAGAGTAGATATGCAATGAGTATCTTAAGTCCCAGGCTACTCCAACAATGCAACACAATTATATATATTAACACAAAACAATAAGAAATAGTGGAAGAGAACGTTGTAAGAGCAATGTGTATCAATAAGAAGAGCTCAGCGTCTCTGAGAACCAGGAAAAGCGCCAGGGTTTCTATATATAGTGTGATTACTGTGTCTTTGATCGTGTTTATAAGATATATCAATTATCGTAAACAACAACGTGACGTCGGAGCCCCGTAAAAACCAAGCTACCTCTGCGTCTGACGCTCTGCGTTTCTGAGGAACAGAAAAATGATTTCTGACTAACCCTGGGTATATAGGGCAATTTGTATTCGCTGGTTTCTTTCGTCCTTTAGCCAGGCCAGTACATGTTTTACATCCCAACTAATATTTTGTAGTTACTGATCGAAGATGAAAAAAAAATGAATTTCTATATCAAAAGAAATCATTTGAAAAACTCATAGTATTGTGCGTCTAAAAACTGATAAAGGTGAAATTAAAGAAGTCGGAAAAATGTCATAGTATAGTATGTTAGAGATATAAAATTGAAGGCAAATACAATCACTAAATATTAAGAAAATAATTCCACAGTATGTAAAAAACTTATAATGACGAAAAGTCTCATTGTCATTTGTCAAAGTGACGGCTCTAAGAGCCAACTCCCGTCGGGAAGAGCCGAATCTTCTGCCGCTCCTGCAGGCCAGGCATGGGCACACCATGCGGCCAATCACATGCGAGGACAGACTTGGATCATACCATTATACGAAGGAAGGAAGGGGGGGCCGAGGCAGAGTAGCCACGCCTGGCTAAGGTTATGGTAGGAAGACTCTGCATTGTCGGAGAGTCTTCTCCAAAACTGGCCAATTAATCCCGGAGGAGAGAAATCGGATCAGCCCACCCAAGATGAGGAATCTGGGTTTCTGAATGCCAGCATGAAGGACTTTTTGATAAAGGCTTTTATTTAGTTGTATTTGTTTGCTATGTTTGCTGTTTAGTTGTTAACTTAAAGGTGGGGTAGGTAATTTTGGAGAAACCGGCTCGAGTGCGCTAGAATTTGAAAATACACAACCGGAAAAAATCTGCCACTTCCTCACAGAGCCCCTCCTCCAACACACACGAACGCGCACATGACCAATGAGGGCAGAGATCAGTTTGTGCCCAGATGGGAGGCTGACAGGCAGGTAGGCCATCCAGTTACTTTAGCCGGCTCAGATGATTGGTCGAGCTTTTTACAGCGCCACGGCTTCCACAGATGATATTATTTATGGATTTGTTGTCAAAGCACTTCAGATATTAATTGCTATCTGGATGTTAAGAGCATTCCATGGAATATAACAACAAGTGTATCTCGAGCCGGTTTAACTTACCTACCCCACCTTTAAATGTTTCATTAAAATGTTAAACAACAGTAACGGTTTTATTGTAACCGAAATATACATAAAGATAAGGCTTTTATGAAAACACTCAATTAAAGATGTCTTACCAACACAAACCATTTATAATTGCTAAATCAGGCTCAAACAGAAGGCTCCGGTTGATACTAAAGGAACTAATACGTCAAATAAAATCCTGAACAGTCACTTTTTTGTTTTATTTAATCCTGAGCTCTTTGTCTTTAAGACATATTTTTTCTCTACTTTATTTAATATTTTTTGGACATTGTATTCAAGTTAAAAAGTTGAATAAGATTGAAGGCAAATACAATAAAAATAATATTAAGAAAATACTTCCATAGTATGTCAAAAAATAATAATTAAAGTTGTCCATGTATTATAATGATTGAATATTGATTGATATAGACTTTTTGCAATACTTCTTATTTTGTATTCTATAGGGATGTAACGATACCAAAAACTCACAGTACGATAATATCGCGATATTGAAAAATAAAGAACAAAATGTGAATTTATTTTCTTTATTAAATAATAAATCTGATTTGTTCAGCATTTTAGTAGATAGTAGTATTTTAAAGTGTCAACAATATAATAATCAGACCCTGCAATAGAATAAATCAAGCTTCACTTTAGTTTTTCAAGTAACTCAGCTCTAACTCACTAACTCACTCATCAAGGATATCTTTTAGGGATATGAGCATGTCCACATTTCCAGGTAGAAGCTGGGATGTTTGGGCGTTTGCAAAATCCCCTGCTGTGGAAACAACTCTCTCGCTTGGTACTGATGTTGCCGGGGATAGAGAGATATGCTTTGGCCATGGGTGACAGCAGTGGGTCAAACTGTGCATTGTCTCTCCACCACTTCAACAACACTACAGTTGTTGCCAAGAAGGTGAGGCTTATTGACAGATATAAATATACTGTTGGTACTTGTCAATGTCTCTTGGTGTGTACATGTAGCTCTGTAAATACCATGTCCTTTTGTGTTATCTGTTTTATGTTCATGTTGTAACCTACTTGCTGCCATGCTGGACAGGTCTCCCTTGAAAAAGAGATTGATGATCTGAATGGGACCATCTGGTTAAATAAAGGTTTAAAACAATAATTATTAAAAAAATAATAAAAAATAGCGGTATATTTTGTCTCACGACGGTATTGAGACATTTATTTACCGCGATATATCGTTACATCCCTAGTATTTTATGATATATGTTGCGTTGTTGGAGGAGCTCACTCTGTAGCTTTGAGCAGATGACAATAACACCTTTGACATTTGAATTTGAAATGCAGAGACTCACAGTGAAGTAAAAGGGATGAGCATGCTGCCCGAGTTTCTTCAGCAGACGCTCCTGCAGCCGGCTGTTCGGTTTCTTCTCCTCCGGCACCGGGGGAAACGCCTGAAATACAAATATCAAAAAGTGAACATCATGCATTCAAATGATCCTCCAGTAAGAAAACAAGTTTAATCAGGAACATTAGGGGTGAGGTGGAGCTCCTTTTGACTGTTCATCTTGATAGTTTTCTTTGTAAGAATAGTGAGTTTTATCTGGGGGAATAAATGTAATTATTAACGTATTTAAAAGTGTATAATTAATAAGAGAAAATGCCATTATATGAAAATACATATGATAAAAGACGTAAACAAATAAAGGAATTTATGTGATCAAAAAAGGTAAATATGAAAAATAATTGAAAGTTATGAAATACAAAAACAATTAAATAAATATGAAAGAGCTTATAAAGTATTTAATATTCTGTATTTCAAAATATTTTATTCACTAATGATTTATTTCTTAAATAATTTGATTTGAAAAAAGTTAATTATGATATCAATTAATACCACATTTATTTTCTTATTCTTTTACAGATTTGATCTTTTCAGGTATTGTTCAGGTGTTGTGTTCAGGTGTTGTGTTGAGGTGTTGTGTTCAGGTGTTGTGTTCAGGTGTTCTTCAGGTGTTGTGTTCAGGTGTTGTGTTCAGGTGTTGTGTTCAGATGTTCTTCAGGTGTTGTGTTCAGGTGTTCTTCAGGTGTTGTGTTCAGGTGTTGTGTTCTTCAGGTGTTGTGTTCAGGTGTTGTGTTCAGGTGTTGTGTTCAGGTGTTGTGTTCAGGTGTTGTGTTCAGGTGTTGTGTTCAGGTGTTTCTTCAGGTGTTGTGTTCAGGTGTTGTGTTCAGGTGTTCTTCAGGTGTTGTGTTCAGGTGTGTGTTCAGGTGTTGTGTTCAGGTGTTCTTCAGGTGTTGTGTTCAGGTGTTGTGTTCAGGTGTTGTGTTCAGGTGTTCTTCAAGTGTTGTGTTCAGGTGTTCTTCAAGTGTTGTGTTCAGGTGTTGTGTTCAGGTGTTGTGTTCAGATGTTGTGTTCAGGTGTTGTGTTCAGGTGTTGTGTTCAGGTGTTCTTCAGGTGTTGTGTTCAGGTGTTGTGTTCAGATGTTCTTCAGGTGTTGTGTTCAGGTGTTGTGTTCAGGTGTTGTGTTCAGGTGTTGTGTTCAGGTGTTGTTCAGATGTTGTGTTCAGGTGTTGTGTTCAGGTGTTGTGTTCAGGTGTTCTTCAGGTGTTGTGTTCAGGTGTTGTGTTCTTCAGGTGTTGTGTTCAGGTGTTGTGTTCAGGTGTTGTGTTCAGGTGTTGTGTTCAGGTGTTCTTCAGGTGTTGTGTTCAGGTGTTCTTCAGGTGTTGTGTTCAGGTGTTGTGTTCAGGTGATGTGTTCAGATGTTGTGTTCAGGTGTTCTTCAGGTGTTGTGTTCAGGTGTTGTGTTCAGGTGTTGTGTTCAGGTGTTCTTCAGGTGTTGTGTTCAGGTGTTGTGTTCAGGTGATGTGTTCAGATGTTGTGTTCAGGTGTTCTTCAGGTGTTGTGTTCAGGTGTTGTGTTCAGGTGTTGTCTTCAGGTGCTGTGTTCAGGTGTTGTGTTCAGGTGTTCTTCAGGTGTTGTGTTCAGGTGTTGTGTTCAGGTGTTCTTCAAGTGTTGTGTTCAGGTGTTGTGTTCAGGTGTTGTGTTCAGGTGTTGTGTTCAGGTGTTGTGTTCAGGTGTTGTGTTCAGGTGTTGTGTTCAGGTGTTCTTCAGGTGTTGTGTTCAGGTGTTGTGTTAAGGTGTTGTGTTCAGGTGCTGTGTTCAGGTGCTGTGTTCAGGTGCTGTGTTCAGGTGCTGTGTTCAGGTGCTGTGTTCAGGTGTTGTGTTCAGGTGTTGTGTTCAGGTGTTGTGTTCAGGTGTTCTTCAGGTGTTGTGTTCAGGTGTTGTGTTCAGGTGTTGTGTTCAGGTGTTGTGTTTAGGTGCTGTGTTCAGGTGTTGTGTTCAGGTGTTGTGTTCAGGTGTTGTGTTCAGGTGTTGTGTTCAGGTGTTGTGTTCAGGTGTTGTGTTCAGGTGCTGTGTTCAGGTGTTGTTCAGGTGCTGTGTTCAGGTGTTGTGTTCAGGTGCTGTGTTCAGGTGTTGTGTTCAGGTGCTGTGTTCAGGTGCTGTGTTCAGGTGTTGTGTTCAGGTGTTGTGTTCAGGTGCTGTGTTCAGGTGCTGTGTTCAGGTGTTGTGTTCAGGTGCTGTGTTCAGGTGCTGTGTTCAGGTGTTGTGTTCAGGTGCTGTGTTCAGGTGTTGTGTTCAGGTGTTCTTCAGGTGTTGTGTTCAGGTGCTGTGTTCAGGTGCTGTGTTCACGTGTATCTCTTACCTGAAAGGTGGAGATGTAGAGATCCTTCCTGAACGACAGACCGAGAACATCCAGATCTTCACGGCCGTAACGAAACGCACAGGTGAGCGTGACGAAGACTACAGGAGGAAGAGGAGTATACCTTTAATAATCTGAATATAAGAGGAGATGATGAAGATATAAAGTGTGGAGGTGAAGCTCTTACCTTTCCTGTCCTTCAGGTACTCCGGGTCCACGAGGATCACGCCATCTGAAGCAGGCAGAGAGAAACTGTTTGTGAAGAGCCCAGCGTCCAATCAGAGAGCAGAGATTATTTACCTGGTGTTCTGACGCACCTCGTTACAGCAGAGGGCTCAGACGTTCAGTCATTAACTCTACACCTCTCTACCTATACAGGTCATTAAAACATGCAATAGGAGACATCGACAAACCTCGAGGGCTGCTGACTCACCTACAGCGTCGACGTGGTCCAGGTGATCCACGAAGTCTCTCTTTCCCAGGTACACCGTCACCTGCACACACAGAACCACCTTCAACCATTCATCCTGTTTGTTTCAATGTACATTTCTCATTTCTAAAATGTTAGATAATCGAAAATATTTAATACGAATTCAATTCAATACAAAAAAAATACTACATGTTTTTATAAAATCATAGGATGTTGTTCCCGGCTCTTTTTGGTGTGAACGCGACATAAGGGGTTCTAACGGAACTAAACGGGAAAAGTACGTGGAAAAGTACTTGGTGTGAACGCGCCTATAGAGAACCGCAGTGACGCGTCCTAAAACCCGGAAGTAAACTCCTTCCGGTTCCTTTGTCAAAAACCAACGCAATCTCTCCACAGGATTTTAGAAAATAGCTGGAAATCAGGTCTGTGATTGAAACACACTTAAGAGACGGATCACGTTTTGTTCAGCCGGATAATATCCACATGTCTACTTTTATCATTTTCGAATCATAAATCTAGTCGCAAGAAGCAAAATGCTAACGTGATGCTATAAAGGAGCTACAGCGAGTCCAGCAGCACGACTTCAACGTCACGCCGACTTCAGATCCAGATTCAAACTCACAGGTTCTAGATGGATCGAGTTGAAGTGTTTGTTTGAACAGTCTGCAGGAGGCAGGGACTTGCTTTCAAGCAGAACAGAAACTAACTTAGAGGAGTGTTCACGTGTTCGGCGTAATGACGTACAACGACCTCCACGACTTCTGTAGTCCTATTCAGCCACTTGGTAACAACCATCGTTTTTCAGACACGTCCACTCTTCAGAAATCACAGTGGGGTCACTGCTGATGATTTAATGTCCTAGAACAAAACGTGATCCGTCTCTTCAATGCGTCTCAACCACAGACCTTAGTTCAGATATTTCCCTAAATCCTCTGGAGAGATCCTTTTGCTTTTTGTCGAAGGAACCGGACGTGGTAAAAATGCGTCCGGTGCTAAATGCTAAGGTTTTAGGAGGCGTCACTGCGGTTCTCTATTGAGTTCTTTGTAACCAAATGTCTCTCAGAGGGGCGTGGGGAGGGGCTCCTTATTTTCATCTGAAGTAACAGACAGAGAATCAGCACTTTGGAAACAGGGCTGAAACAGAGGGGATTATGGGTAATGCTGCAATGATCTGCTTGGTGTTTCAGCCAATCAGAGACAGGCTCTGGATATATCTGAGACCTGTGATATATTGATGAGGAAGAGGATGATAGGGGAGCTTTAAGAGTCAGACTCACCTTACAGTTGGGGCTCGACTTCTTGAATACTCTGAGATTAGGGAAGAGGAAGAGGAAGAGGAGGAGACTGATGTTAGTTCATCGTTTGATTTCATAACGAGGATAAAACACATTGTGAAGACGTTTCAAACTTTAGATCTCATCTGAAACGTTTGTGAATCTCTGGAGGTGTGAGGAAGAGTTTAAAACCAGGAGTCAGTTTATTTCAACACGACAGGAAGTGAGGAGGGAAGTGGTTTTAGAGAAACGCTCGGTGTGAATGATGTAGTTATTATGGGATGCACTGCCTGCTTCATCTGGTTACAAATACTCACAGGTTCACAGGGTTAAACTGTCTTTTTAAAACCAGCAATAACCCTTCAAGTTCTTTTTCATTAACAAATGAAATGTCAAAATATATAAATATAAAAAATCTGAATTGCTACATATGATTTGTGTTTTAATTATTATTCTTTGCATTTTTAAATATGTATTTCTACTTGCAGTGTGTCCGTCTAAACCAGGGGGGTCAAACTCAAACACACAGTGGGCCAACATTAAAAAGTGGGTACTAGTGGAGGGCCGGACTGGTTCAATGTTTATTGCAGAACTTATTGAAATGAACTTGTTGCACATATTAAACCTGGAACTAACAAAGCTTAAATGATCGCCTATAAAAACAACATTAAACATTAAATAATCAGCTGCATTCATTTCTTATGGCTCTATCTGCAGCTTTTCAGAGTCATTTCTTATGAGTACATTTTCCCACAGGCCAACAACAGCTTCAACAAAACTATTCCCCTCAGAGAGAAAACCAAACATGCCCTGTTGTCCTGAGAGAGAAAGTGCAGAAGGAAGCATCCATTGAACTCAGTGTGCTGCTCTGTGATGCTAGCTCAGATACTTGGCATCTCATCTTGGGTGCAAGCTCATCAATGTTTGGGCTCAGGCTCTGAGCGGAGGAGACCCTCAGGATGGAGTGAAGGTGTGCGTGCAATATACCGGAGGGCCAGATCTAATAGCAATTAGAAATTATCTTGCGGGCCGAAATTAAATCCACCAACGGCCTGATTTGGCCCCCGGGCCTTGAGTTTGACACATGGGGTCTAAACTATAAATACATTGAAAATTAAACCTCAAAATGTTCTGAAAAGTTCATTAAAAACTGAGTATTTTAGGAGGAAAAGGAAACTTATATTGATCACAGGAAAAGCTCTTTAAGTTTAAATTTACAGACAAAAATAGGAAATGTTTCTGACAGCATTGCGTTAAAAAAAAAGGCCTTATTGTGTTTTCCAGAGGGAGTTTCTCCTATATACATTATAAAGAGAAACTCTCAGACTGAAATGATCGAGTACTCTAGACCAGTGTTTTTCAAAGTGGGGCCCCCGACCCCCCGGGGGGCCGCCAGGGGCCGCCAGGGGGGTCACGCAAAGTTTGAGGGAAAGGGGAATTTTTTTTTTTTTAAAGTTACATTTTTTTATTTTGTAGATGTTATAAATAACTGCATATCTATCAGTCTATGTGTCCTTTGATGCCAATCTTTTAATATGTTTTACTTATTCAAATATATATATTTTTTTAAAATCACACGACCGCCCTTCAAGCCAATCAGAATCGAGCTGCCGCTGCTGAGAGTGAAACTGAGTATCTGCTCAGCTTTTGGAGCAAGTGAGAGCGAGTGAATGTTTCGCTCTGCAGCCGGATGAGAGCACGGATGCAGCAAATATTGATGTTTATATATATGAATATAAATATGTCTATTGTTAATATTACTGTTGAATATTATATATAATATTATTAAGGCATAAGTAGCTTTCAAAAATGCTAAAAATATATGTTAATTGTTCATATTACTGTTCAAGATTATATAATATTATAAAGACATAAATCACTTTAAAAATACTTTACTGTTGATATTACTGTTTAATATTGTGTTAAGAATGTTTATAACCAGGGCTGCACATAACTGGTGCGCAGGTGCGCATGCGCACCTCCGCCAAAAAAAGAGCACCGGGTCATTTGAAACAAAGCGCATTTGCGTACCAACATTGAGAGGGAGAGAGAGAAGAGAAAAGAGAAAAGAGAAAATAGAGGAGAGATGAGAGATGAGAGAGAGCGAAGAGAGAGAGAGAGAAAGATATTTGCGAGTTGTATGAACCATGATATGAACTCAGGCCGGCCCGTAGCGCTGGCTAGATGTTCGCCTAGGGCGCCAGATCTGGGGAGGCGCTGCGCTGGCAGCTCTGGGAGGGAAAAAAACATTTTGACCGTTGGGGCTCATCCTAATTTTCGGCCTTGATGTAACAACATTCATAATTAAGTAAATGTAACACCCTTTTCACCCCGGTTCCATGTTTCATTTGCCCTGTACGATGGCGCTGTAAGTGATGAAAATGGGGGATGTTGGCTTATCTGGCAACCGCAGCTCACAGCCAAAATGCAAGTGAGCGAGGGAGGGTGGTACCAGCGCTGTTGTTATTATAATCTGGTGCCGTGCTAGCTGCTCTAACGGAGATAAGAAGAAGATGTTTCTACAATAATGTGGAGGGAGAGTCCTCTCCAGTCAGACTGAGAGGCTGATAAGATAACTGCAGCTCAGTGAGGTAAAGGACTCTGAGTGTTTAGATAGTTCACTTTAGTCTAAGTTCAAACGGTTTGGTCACAATTTATGTAAACACATATTTCCAAGGCACTCCTTTGTAATTATTGGGATAAACAGGTTTTAAATCATTCCAATGTATACTATAGGACAGTAACCAAAAATATCCTTTAAAACTGGAGATAAAAAAAAAAAATGTTAAGGTAAAATAAGATATGAATGAACAACACAAATAAAATAAGTTACATTCATTTGTTATTGGCTATGGTAGGTTATTGGTTATGTTCACATACTTATTTGATTACATCCACTTGTCTAAGATGACAGAGACTTTCGACCCAAACCCAGCTGTTGACTTGTGGATGCAAGCAGCTAATCGCAGACTCAACCAGAGAGAAAGAAGTAGGCCTACATCATCAGCTACCATGTCTGACAGAGAGGAAGACAGTGAGGAGAACAGTCAGGAGGGTAGTGATGACAGCTTGTAGGATTACTGGTCGTGCTAATGTTGTCTTGTGTTCACCACTGCATGTGTGTTCTGTGTTCACCTCTGCACGTGTGTTCTGTGTTGACCTCTGCATGTGTGTTCTGTGTTCACCTCTGCACGTGTGTTCAGTGCCGTGTGTCTGGCAAATAAAGTCAAGACCCCTCAAAAGTTACGGTTAATTTCATTTTAAGGATGAGCACCAAGCAACATCTCCAGGTGCTCCTTTGAGAACCAGGGCAAAAAAGTTATGTGCACCCCTGAGTATAACAGAACACACAATGAATGTAATGAATGACAAACAAAAGATAAATACAAAAAATGTTTAGAAGAATAACTTATTATTAATACAAATATATAATAAGAAAATGTATTAAGCTGTATGATTAATGTCATATTCTCCATCATAATGTACTATAATGTAATAAATTGCAACAGGGGGGTCCCCGCCAGACGAGTGCTATACGGGGTCCTTGGCATGGCAACGTTTGGGAAGCCCTGCCCTAGACGACCGCGTGCATCTCAGATACTCCTGAATACTGAAGCTGTTATCGTGCAGCTTCTTCAGAGAGTTGCCGCTTGGTGTGAAACAGGGGCGGACTGGCCATCGGGAATACCGGGAGTTTCCCCGGTGGGCCGGTGCTGTGCATGGGCCGGAGGGCCAAAACAATAAATACATTTTTTTTTTTAATTTTTTTTTTTTTAATTTTTTTTTTTTTGCCTAAATCCTACCGGCCCATATTTGTGAGTATACCGGCCACTCCCTTTTTTTTTTTGCTTAACTAAATCCTACCGGCCCACATTTGTAAGTGCCCACATTTGGCCACTCCCCATCAGGCCCGTAGCGGCTGTCACTGCGCAGTGAAAGATCAGGAGTGAGTTACTGATGGATAAACAAGCTCCAAAGCGTAAAGGAGGTGCACAAAAACTTAGGGATAAAAAAATGAAAGCACTTGAGGAAGGTTCAGCAAAATAAAAATAAATTACAGACTTTTCGTTTGGTCCTGCAGCTGGTTGTAGTTGTAGTACAACCACCACCGGAGAAGCTGATGTAACGTTAGCCGACACAGCGGCCATTCCCAGTGGCAGTGAGTCCAGCAATGAAACTGACACAGTACAGCGGCATCTAGAGCCCAGTACCAGCAGTGATATGATGGTAAGTTAATGTTATGATTGATGCTGAAAGTGAAAATCCTCATTTGGCTAATGCTAGCTTGCTTTTTAATGTAGCAGATGAGGTAATATTAGCTAGCTAGCCTATTTCTAGCTAGCTAGGCTATTGCCTACAGTACATTGTGTGTTCACAGGGACAGCTAATGCATTAGCTAGCTAGCCTATTGCCTACAGTACATTGTGTGTTCACAGGGACAGGGTAAAATTAACAACATTCACTGACCAAATTCTGGTGAAATATGCAAGCTGCTGGTAGATTTGCTTCACTCATTGACAACGGTAATCTATTTGAACATTATAGCCACTTGACTTGGGCTGGTGAATCAATGAGACTACGATGATTGCTTATACTGTCTTTTGTTTGATTAGCTTAGACGTTAGGTTACCTTATTAATACTACAAATAATAAAGGGTCCATTATTTGTCAACCTGCAACTAAAGTTACTGTCTGGTGGAAATTAGCCTGTTACTGTCTTTAAGACTTTACTTGGTTTACATACATAATAATAACATGGTGGTAACATAATAACGTAACATACTAATCAATACTAATCATTTTTGTAGGCTGAAGATGATCCTGCTGCTGACACTGACAGAGTTAGTCAAGGCCAGGATTCAGTGCCACCCCAGTTGATTATTTCACCAGGCCGATGTCAGGCACATTAGACCTATTCTTCCGTTTTCACCCCCAGCAGAAGGCAGACAAGGCTGTAGTGCAGAGGGCTTTTTTTTGCAAAGACGGCACAAACAGGAAATAGCTATCATACAGTGAAGCCAGAGAAGTACTCTT